ATCGTTAATCCAATATAAATTAAGGATCACTCGAAGAGTGGTGGGTTTTTCGGTCAAAAGCTGGAGAAAAAAGACAAAGAAGATGGCTACTTGATCTATTTATTGAAGACGTTTCGCTATCTAAGCAGAAGTTATGTCGCCATCATTATCGTTCTAATGAACAAACTGTTACAAAACTACGTGAAAATCCATTTAGGATTTACAAAAATTTGGATTTACATTAATATCTTTACATAAAAGATTTAGGTAGACAAACAGAAAAAAAGAAAAGATCGATACTAGAATTCGATTCGTAATGATTCGCGAACGGTTAAAATTTAACTGTCATCATAAATGTTATTAAATTAATAACAATATTGAATCATTTTTTTAAATGTTTATTCTAGATAATTTTCGTTTTAAAATAATTTCATATAAATAGAATCTCGGATTTTTATAATTATCAGTTCGACATTTGTATTAAAATGCGAGAAAAAGAGGAATTAGTAAAACATTTTAATTTGAATTGTCATATTTATACTTTGATAGAGAATTCCAAATCAGCACATTTAATATGGCTCTTTTACGAAATAGCAGTTAGAGTAAATAGTTGGAAGAGTCTATTTACTCGACGAGTCCGTTATAATACCACATCTAAACTTTTCCAAGTTTATTAAAATCTATAAAAATAATAAAAAACTAAATTACTTATAGTTTATTCGTCTTCCAGGTTTGGACCGTGTCATTTGTGAGTGACCCAAAAGTGGGTTCATCTCGACGTTTCGCTACAATTGTATGTAGCTTCTTCAGGAGAACAAAGAAAAGAAAACAAAAGACAGGAAGATGGGTAGTTAGCAACGGTAACTCAGTTACTCAACGCAACCAGAGGCGAATACTAACTACCAAGATGGGCATTTGGTCACAGTAACTTAACTACTCAACGCAGCCAGAGGTGAAAACCAAATGCCAGGACAGGGATTCACGTCCAACAGCTCAGAACACTAACGCGTCGAGAGGCGGGGAGTGGATCCGACGATTACTCCGCTATCGCTCTATTTATAGTCGCGGTGACCTGTCGTGTCGGGACGTATCGGCACACTCCGTGGCGCGAACGTCAAGAAGCGCGCGCTGGCCAATCATGTGGCTGCATCGTGGTAGCGGGACCGGACGGCGGCTCTAGACTAAGATTCCAGATGGGAGACAAGTAGTATCCTTCCTCTCGATTGATATTATGTGGATTTTTTCGGATCTCTAGAGATTCGCGGATTTTCCTGGAATAAAAGAAGGGGCTCTTAGAAATAATATGGGTTTTTTCGAACAATATGGAATGACCGGTTTCTTGGCAGTGTTCTGCAACTGCAGAATGGGAGAAAAGACCTGATCGAATGCATCTTTGATGCTCTTGAATCCGAGTTTTGACGGAACGACCAGTTTCGCCAATATACACATGTCCACATAAACAAGGAATAGAATAGACACCACAGGAAGATAGGGGCGGTAATGGGTCCTTAGGAGAGGGTAGATATTGTGAGATTTTCTTGGGTGGTCGAAAAGTAGTCCTGATACCTTCTTTGCGAAGAATTTTGCCAATCCTATCAGTGACATTTCGAATATACGGAAGAAAAGCCACAGGAGTATTACCCGAAGATTATGAATTTGTCGTCCTAGGGTGTAAAGGGGGATGTAGATGTCGGTGTGTAATATTTTGAATTGTGGACTTGGAGTAACCGTTGGCGAGAATGGTTTTTTGCAGATGGCCAAGTTCTTCTCTAAGGTTGTCGGGTTCAGAAATCGAAATGGCCCGTTGAATGAGAGAGTTGATCACAGAATTCTTTTGGGCAGGATGGTGGTGTTATGAAGCATATAGGTAACGATTCGTGTGAGTCTTTTTTCTATAAACAGAGTGACCCAATCGGCCATTGGGCTTGGAGGTGACTAACACATCGAGAAAGGGAAGGGACCGATTATTTTCTACTTCCATTGTGAATTTTATACTCGGATGTTGTGAGTTGAGATGATCTAGGAAGAGAGAAAGGGTATGTTGACCATGGGGCCAGATGATAAATGTATCATCAACGTAGCGGAACCAGACTTTTGATTTTAAGGGGTAAGATTCTAGGGCTAAAGACTCAAAGGCTTTCATGAAAATGTCAGCCATGACAGGGGAAAGGGGAGAACCCATTGGTGTTCCAGATATTTGTTTGTAGAAATTGCCTCTAAAAGAAAAATATGTTGAAAGGAGGCATTTTTCCGCAAGATCTGCCAAAACCAAAGACTTGTTATCATTGGTCAAGTGATCTCGCAGAACAACTAGAGAGTCATGTATGGGGTTATTGGTAAATAGGGATGATACATCAAAACTGACGAGAATGTCTTGGGGATCGACCGTGAGGGAGGAGATTAAGGTGATGAAATGTGTGGAATTTCGGACATAAGAAGAGGTACGACCAGTATAGGTCTTAAACTGATTCCACAAGTACTTTGCGAGTTTGTAGGTAGGAGAGTTAATCGTAGTCACAATGGGACGAAGAAGTACGTTGTCTTTATGGATTTTGGGAAGACCGTAAATTCTGGGGCAGATGGAGTTTTTCGGAACTATGGACTTCTTAACATCATCGGAAAGATCGGATTGTTTGATGGCATGGGAAATTTCGCGTTCGACTCTAGGAGTGGGGTCTCGAGAAATTGTATTATAACAGGATGTATCCCTAAGTAAGTCGTTTACTTTCTCTATGTAGGAAGGAGTATCCAGGATGACTGTGGCATTACCTTTGTCTGCAGGAACGATTATTATCTCAGAAAGAGAACGGAGATTTGTGAGAGCTATGAATTCCTCACGAGATATATTGGAAGTAGAGATTTTGGCTGTATCAAGACATTTAGCGACGTTAAAGCGGATACGGTCGGCTGGAATTTTGGGAATTGTGCGGAGTGCCGTTTCCACATTTGAAACTATTTCTTCGGTAGGAATTCTGGAAGGAGTGATAGCAAAATTAAGACCTTTAGATAGAAGACTGCTTTCTGCACTTGTTAATTGGCGAGAAGAAAGATTAACGACGGTGTTAGTAAGAGGTGAATGAGAAGTAGAAGTGGTGGAATGTGATTTTTTCTTAGATACAAGGGATTGGAATTTCTTTTTGTGAGTTTCGTTGCTTAGAAGAAGGATTTTATCGGCTTGATGATAGGAAATGCGGTCTAAAAGTGACCAATCATCGACACTAAGAATACTGGAGAGTTCAAGATGCAGCTTAAAAAGTTTTTGGGATTGAAAAGTAAGGGTTTTTCGAATATATTGAATCCGTTCACGAAGTAGAGATAGGCTGGCTCGATGTAGAATTCGGGAAGAAGATGAAGAGGAAATGTGATGTTTTAGAACAAGAAAATTCTGAACCAAGTTATTATCACGACATCTAGAGAGGAAGGTGAGCGAAGAAAGTAGAGATGAAACTTTAGAGCGAAGATTGGAGAACTCTGAGGTTTTGCGGAATATAACCTCCCCGTAGAGGTTGGTCAAATGAAATCGTAGGCTTCCACGGCCAGAGTCAGAATTGTAGTTTATTCGTCTTCCGGGTTTGGACCGTGTCATTTGTGAGTGACCCAAAAGTAGGTTCATCTCGACGTTTCGCTACAATTGTATGTAGCTTCTTCAGGAAAACAAAGAAAAGAAAACAAAAGACAGGAAGATGGGTAGTTAGCAACGGTAACTAAGTTACTCAACGCAACCAGAGGCGAATACTAACTACCAAGATGGGCATTTGGTCACAGTAACTCAACTACTCAACGCAGCCAGAGGTGAAAACCAAATGCCAGGACAGGGATTCACGTCCAACAGCTCAGAACACTAACGCGTCAAGAGGCGGGGCAAGAAAATCTCACAATATCTACCCTCTCCTAAGGACCCATTACCGCCCCTATCTTCGTGTGGTGTCTATTCTATTCCTTGTTCATGTGGACATGTGTATATTGGCGAAACTGGTCGTTCCGTCAAAACTCGGATTCAAGAGCATCAAAGATGCATTCGATCAGGTCTTTTCTCCCATTCTGCAGTTGCAGAACACTGCCAAGAAACCGGTCATTCCATATTGTTCGAAAAAACCCATATTATTTCTAAGAGCCCCTTCTTTTATTCCAGGAAAATCCGCGAATCTCTATAGATCCGAAAAAATCCACATAATATCAATCGAGAGGAAGGATACTACTTGTCTCCCATCTGGAATCTCAGTCTAGAGCCGCCGTCCGGTCCCGCTACCACGATGCAGCCACATGATTGGCCAGCGCGCGCTTCTTGACGTTCGCGCCACGGAGTGTGCCGATACGTCCCGACACGACAGGTCACCGCGACTATAAATAGAGCGGTAGCGGAGTAATCGTCGGATTCACTCCCCGCCTCTCGACGCGTTAGTGTTCTGAGCTGTTGGACGTGACTCCCTGTCCTGGCATTTGGTTTTCACCTCTGGCTGCGTTGAGTAGTTGAGTTACTGTGACCAAATGCCCATCTTGGTAGTTAGTATTCGCCTCTGGTTGCGTTGAGTAACTGAGTTACCGTTGCTAACTACCCATCTTCCTGTCTTTTGTTTTCTTTTCTTTGTTCTCCTGAAGAAGCTACATACAATTGTAGCGAAACGTCGAGATGAACCCACTTTTGGGTCACTCACAAATGACACGGTCCAAACCCGGAAGACGAATAAACTATAATTCTGACTCTGGCCGTGGAAGCCTACGATTTCATTTAACAAAATTACTTTATTCAATTTTAAGAATATTTAAATTTTAAAATACAAAAAACAGTATGAAGCTTCGCGCTAGTCTGAAGTACCGCTTATTGTACTACTTTCTTTATTTCTTTTAAAATTTATGAACACTTCTTCAGATAGATTGGTTTTGTCCATGCCTCAATGGATTAAATGTGTTATTACTAAACGTTAATTATTTCAATCCAGTACAAATAATAGTTAACGAAATATTTTATACATTCGTTCTACTGTATTATTTATTAAGGGAGAACATTTTTTTAATTATAGGTAGACGTATCGACAGTAGATCCTGTAGCAGCTTTTTGTAGTTCTGACGAAGAAAATGAAAATTCAGATTGCTTACAATTTTTACCAATAGCTCCAGAGGTAATTTAAAAAAAGTTTGTATGACCCCAATTACTTTATTTAATTTTGTTTGTTAATATTGAATTACATATCAATGCATATGGATACCTAGAGAGCAGTAAAACTTTTCAATTTTATTATTCCTTAGTAAATACATTTTTGGGTTTTGAATTTCACATTTATTTTTTTTTTAATTTTGTTTAAAAATTTTAAAATTTTAGACAATTACTGGATTGTGAAGGAGAGCAAGGAAAGCTTTAATTGGAGTTACTAGTTTGTATACATGTTCTTATTATATATTTTTCGCTTTTGAAAAAATGAACATAAGTTGTCTATGTATGTCTTTTCTTTTCTTTGATGTCTTATCCCTAATCTATATTATTCTACCATACATTCTATCGTATCCAATCTTCACACTGACAACGTAATTGCTAGTGTTTGATAATTTTAGTGTATTTGTTCGATAGTCTTAAAATATTTGAATTTCCTCTTTAGTTACTTAGTAAACTCTATTCACTCAATTCAGTTCCAACTGTCTATTAAATTTAGTAATGAGTTTTATGCCAACTTTCTTCATTAACCAAGTTTACTAATTTCTCTGTGAGAATGACTATATCGTAAGCGTATCTAATAATGTTAATTATTTCTCCGCTTTTTTTTATTCCTTCATACCTAAAGATTTTTTCGGAATATATATTGAAAAACCGGTTGACAAAACACAACCTTGTCGTACTCCACGTTTAATGGGTAGTTTTTGAGTATGACTGTTTTCAATTTGAATAGAGCCTACTTGATTTTAATACAGCTATTTTAGTAGTCATATCGTAATGGTTCCGTCCTACTATTTGTAGGTATTTGAAAACTGTATCGTCTTGTACTCGGTAGGTAAATGCCTTTTCAAAGTAAGAGAGACTTTTTTTGGTCTCATCAAAGTCGTCTGTGGTAAATCAGCCATACTGCAGCCAATTGGCTTATTGTACATCTTCCATTCTTTCTAAAACTATGGAACCCTATTTAGCTTATACAGGTCTAGTGGAAGAGGACCATATGTTTTTGGTGGTCTCAAAAAGTGTTTGCCGTTTGCGATATAATGCCTCGCGCAGTCATGCAAGGTATGGTTAACTGTTTCATGTTCTCTACTACAGAGTCTGTAGTTCTGTAGTTTAGTAACAGACCTGTTATTACGCTAAACTGATTTCGGTTTGTTTTTCGCGTTACTTCAGTCCTATTACCTCATGTCCGTCCCACATATATTTTGGCATGTTTGACCTGATATACTTTTTCGGTGAGTTTAATTTTTTATTTCTTTATAGGAACTATCGAGCCATTTTATCGACTATTATTTTAAATTATAAGGGTCACATAGCTCAGGCGGTAGTGTCGGACTTAAATGCAGAAGGCCAGGGATCGAATCCCAGCGCCGGCGAGAACATCTAGATATTTTTAAATACCTACAAGTCCAAGGTCGACTTAGCCTAAATAAAATGAGTATTTTTGTAAAACCAGTAATAAAAGGCAGTTGAAGCGTAGCACTGGCCCTGTTACCTCCTTGTATACTGTAGGCCAAAGAGATAGCAGACTAACCTGCTATAATCCCAAAGTCACACTAGTGGTATAAGGAAGACTATTATTATATTGTTTTAAATTATAAATTGACTTACTAATGTTGATATTTTCTTTTTGGTGACTTCTTCTTTTAAAATTGGCGACTAAATCATATTCTATTTTACCGAGAAATTGGCTTTGCAGTTTGTATCATTCAGCAAAGTTAGAGTGGCTTTTTAAATTTTTGTCTTTTTACCATCCAATCGTTTTCTTCTATAAGTTTTTGCATATTTGAGTTCTATCAAATTCTCTATTTTTAATATAGTATTGATGTTCACTTATTCCAACTTTTATTTTCCGCGAGGAAGATTTTCAAACGTCACCATCCGGATGAGAGGGTGGTGTGTAATTTTTACCCACTAAAAAGTCCACCCATAAAGAAGTTCATGGTGGAAAACCTATGTGCATTTTTCTGCTCCCTCTCCAGTCCCCTTTTCTCTTTCATTACTGGAGCAATCACACCCTTTAAATGGATTAAATCTTTCTTACTACGCAGAATTAGTTCAACCGGCACCTCCACTGTGATCTCTCTCAATCTTATCCAACTTTCGCATACAGAGTATGACAACCCACATTTTTAGGTTAGTGACGAGACGCCGGGTCCACTCAGCCTTCCTTCTCGGCGCTCAGATCTCTCGGTGGCATCACGGCCAGAACTCATCTAACCCGTTGAGTACGGTAGCGACCACAAACTCATACGAGTGCCCTTTTCCATAAGCTGCTCCTTTGACTCCATAAGAGTATTAAATGCAGTATACAGTAATCGTGTTGCACTTGTCCGCCAACACTCTTAATAACCCACTCGGCCCTACACACTCACACAGGTTTAGCTGTAAATTCAACAGTAGGTAACTTACACTCTCATTCGTGATTTTCTTCTCACGTAGCCCTGTTCATGTACTCTTTATTGCACTTTAATTTTCTTTTTTTTTAGTATATTTCTAGCCAGTTCGTTATTTCCACCCTATCTTCTCTCCCAGTCTCATCTCTCATCTTGTTGTAATCCTTTCTCCAAGCAGTGACAGTTATCGTTCCATCAATAGGCAGATTTTCAGTCTCAAGCGCCCGTTTTCGAAACGTCCTATTACACCCAGCAACAATTACAGCGGCAGACTGTCTGCCACTTTAACTCCAACCAAAAGGTTGGGTTCTTACATCCGTACCATAAACAAATGTTTTAAAGTAATTTGTAGAGTCCTTCTTTTATGTATTTTTTCAGCTTTTTTGAAACTTATTTTGAGAAGTTTTTGTAGCTTTTTAAATGTTATAAAGAAAAAGGGAAAATTATAGATTTTTCACCAAATGTGATCTCTCTTGTGTAGTGGTGCTTTTTAAAATTTGACCATAGCTCTGAGGATGGCCTTGTAAACCGAAAGCGCTCAGCTATTTACACACTTCAAACATACTTTTCTTTTACATTCTTTGTTTTAAGAACTTTATATTCATCATTTTCGCGCATACTGATATTGGTCTCAATTTATTTAAAGAAAAAAATGATGCGTCTTAGATATTTTTAATTAAAAATCATTTTTGAATTCTTCGTTTAATTTGTGGCAAAAAATAATAAAACACCATAACGCTTATTTTTATTTCGTTAATACGTTCTCAATACCTATCTAATAGAATGACATTAAAGCAGAACAATAACAAAAAACACCTGCACGTTTAAAATAGGCGAAAAGCTACAAAAAATGATCAAAATGGCCCCCTGAAACGTGACACACGATTCAACTGTTACACGAATATGGGAGCTGAATGACTTTTTTTTTTGTCTGGAAATCATAAAGAAAAACCACGAACATGGGGGATTTGAACGATTTTTTTGTCAGGGAAATATTAAGAAATTAATATTAGAAACCATATTCATATTTATTGAGATTCAGTTGCCCTATATTCAATGTGTGAGATGGCACGTTTCTAAAAATACTAAACCGACTAAACTAAAATTGACTAAAAACCTAGACTTTAAGTTCTCTAGAACTCACAAACAATGAATTTCTGATTCTTGGAGCACTGAAAAGTTTTGATCAGTATCACCAAAGCTACTTCTGTGCATAGTTTTACTTTTACGTCATTAAATGAATACATCAGACATAATAATAATGAGGTAATAGTTAAATCTTGTGTCGTCACCTTTCAGAGGGTCATTTTGAACATATTTTATAGCTTTACGTCTATTTAAAATTTTATTATATAATAATAATTTATTTAATAATATATATATATATATATATAATAATAATAATTATAATAATATATATATATATAAATAATTTTAATAATTTATTATACTTTCTGTTATTGTTCTGGTTTAATGTTATTTTATAGTTGTTGAGACTGTATTAAACAAATGAAAAATTCTTTTTCTTTGGGTGCCGTCTTCAATGAAGGTTGGCGATAACCTCAGCAAAATCATTTCTGTTCCTGGCTTTTCTTATGAATGAAATGAAAAATACGTTTTAATTTTAAGATGTTTATTTTTTGCATAAAAATGGCGCCTCATATAAAAATAGAACAAAGATTTTTTTTTCAAAATTAAACGAAGAATACATTACAATTATTTTTTCATGCAGAATCACTCCCTGAATTTTGTTGCACTTATGTATAACTCTGTATATTATATGTATTATTATCCAAATGGACTAAAAACCGACACTTTGGACCGCTGTAACTGTAACAAACAATTGATTTTTATGCCGTGGGACAATGAGAATTTTTGATCAGCATGGCCAAAGCTGCCTTTATACAAATTTTCAACCAATTTAACTGAAACTACGTTTAAATAAAAAAGTGCCGTGGTTCTTTATCAGGAAGCTGCTCTCAAAATAACTATAGGAGAAAGAACTGTCAACTGAATCCTAAAACGAGCGAGTTGCACCTCGCTCAGTGAGGTTCTAACTGTCGCAGGTCGAAATAAAAAGGGAGAGGGACGGGTCGTAAGACAGGTAGTGGTTCGTGCGGGTGTAGTTTTTCTGATGAATGGGAGAAAGCATGGGAATCGGGTGATCGCAGGGCATTAGGAGAGATGCTATGCCTTAACAGCGGTTCCATCCTAATGTTTGGAGTGACAGAGGAGAAGTTTTTAGTTGGACACCGAATGTTTCGGAGTGGTGTCAAAGTGGCGGAATAAAGTGTCAAAGGTCTAACTACGTCAAGCATCTCGTCCTGGCACAACTTTGTTAGGGTATTGGGAACCCAACATTACCTGGGTCACAGGTGTCTGCATGCAGATTTTCCTTCATGATGTTCAGAAAAAAGGTTGTGAACATATGAGATGATGTCTGAGTTAGTGTGTTGCGAAGAATGATTGAGTTATCGTGAATAAGGATAGTATGAATACCTTTGTCAGAGAGGAGGCAGAACCTGAATCCTCAACCATACTTCTCTCAACCGGGACAGTGTGTTTTAGATGGTATATGAGGATGAGGAAATAAGGCAGTGAACATTGGGCACAAGGATGGAAGATCAGAACAGAAGGTATTAGGAGATTGGGAATTTGATGAGAGTATCTATAGTGCGGATGCCTTCGATCAAGACTGTCTGCCACTTCAACTCAAACCAAATGGTTGGGTTCTTACACGCGTACCATAAACACATTTTTTTAATGTGTTTTTGTGGAGGCCAATGTTCTGTCTTTTATGTCTTTTTTCAAAGAAGTTTTTGTAACTTTTTAAATTTTATAAAGAAAACGTATTATTCAAATGGACTAAAAACTGATTTTTAACCTCTTAGTCTTGGGACAATGACAACTTTTGATCAGCATTACCAAAGCTACCTCTCTGCAAAGATTCAGCCAATTTTATTGAAACCATTTTTACACAAGAAAAGTGCCGGAGTACTTTGTGGATCTGTGTCTAACACTACTTATCCCTCAACACTGCGCCATATCACGTATTGCCTCCCACTCTTCCTGCCACTGGTCGATTGAGACTAATCTCTTGGCCTAAGCTTTACCTATGAACTGAAGCTATGGACTGTGAACGCTGGCCTACTCATCTGACAATACATGCAAGAGAACACAACCGGTGACCACCTACAGAGCGGCAGCTGAAACGGTCCTATAGCCACAGGCTACCCGCAGCAGACTAGTTATGTCCACACGCACCATGAGTCTCTTTAAAGTTATACCATCTTTTTCAATCGCTCTACTCCAGACTGGGATAGCGTATTAGAGGTCGACATACTGATATGTTCAGAACCTGAGATAATACAGAAACTGCACATCTTTCAAATTGAATATATAATTCATAATTCTCCCATTCTATCCACAGAAAAACCTAATCATCTTGCACGCTTAAGGGCTGGATTTAGACTAGAGATCAATCTCATTACTATTGAATTTTCCACTAAATAAAAATTTCCGAATTCACAAGGTATTATACAAAAATGTGTTCTACCGTTCGTTGTTAGGTTATATAAAATACAAAAATAAAACAAGAAAAAACAATAAGCTAAATTACAATAAAGGGTCATAATTGCCCAGTATATTACATAAAAGCATAGAAACGAACTTAAATGTCTGTTAGTAATATTATGCACACGCGTGAGAGAGCTCTTGTCACTTCACCATGGTTTGTTTTTATTATCACAACACATATTCTATTGTCTCTGCCTTGATGTACCATTGAAATGCGTCCTAACTTCCACTGTAAAGGTGATAAATTGTCTTCTCTAAGACACACTAGCTGATCTATCTTCACTTCTTGGTTGCTAACAGTCCTCCATTTGGATCTTGACTGAAGTTGAGTTAAATATTCTGTTGACTAATAAAAAACTATTCGTAGGTCTGGCTCAGGAAATGTTGTTAATGGTGAAAATGTTAAAAAATGACCAGGGGTCAAAGGTTGAAAATCTGCTGGGTTAGAGGATAAAGAAGTTAAGGTCTGGAATTGACATGCTTGAAAATATATGATTTCCCACAATTCTTTTAAGATGAAATTTAAATGATTTGACTGCTTCCTCACAAATTCCCCCATAATGTGGTGATCTAGCAGCAATGAACTACCACTTTATTGATTCTACTGTAAAAAGCTGTTAATTTCTGTTCTGGAGTTCTGTACTAAATCGTACATTACTTTGACTTGATTATTAGTCCCCACAAAAGTTGTGCCATTGTCTGATGAGATAGTCAATGGTTTACCTCTACAATGCACTTTTTTAAAATTCGTTTTACTGTAGTTAAACATGATAATATCCAAAATCTAGTTTTCAATGTTGATAACAATAGTCGTGGACCAGCATGTAAGTTTTTATAATGTTCATCCAAAATGCTACAAGTAGTAATGTGATGGTCTGAAGTTAAAAGTATTGGATGTCTTTGAGAAAAAGTTAAAAATCTGCATTTTTGATCCTACCACCAACTCTGAGAATACCATCTTTAAGAAATGGATTAAATGAAATAAGATTGCTATTCTTTTTGACTGTATTACCTTTCAAAATCTGTGAAATTTCAGATTGGAAACATTCATTCTGTACAAGTTTTACAATAGTATTTAAACTGACTTCCAGTTCTGTTATAGAAATTTGACCACAATATTTGTCTAATTTATTAGAACAGTTATATTCAAATCTTAAAAGTAATGCTATTATTCTTTATATTCTTAAGAATGAAGAATATTTTTGGATTATACTAAATGATTCCCTTTGTTTAACATGAGCTGATAACTGGTATTTAGGTCGTTTTTCTGGCAAATTATTTACTGATTTAAATTTTGGTATAGGCCAGTTGTCTTCACCTTCTGATAACCATGAAGGTCCATGCCACCACAAGGAAGAAGTTCATAATGTTTTTGAGTCTATTCCTCTTGAAATAAGGTCTCCTAAATTCTGTATGTTGTCTTTTGCTAACAGTGGAACAACAATTTATCCTTCTTGATTGTTCTGAAAACATGTCTGATATTCCTTTTCATATGATTCTTCTTCTTTAGTTAGACATTTATTTTATTTTATCAATATTTTCTATTTCTCAAAATTGTTTGAGCTGATCATGGAGGTTGTTGACAGTGAAGGTTGGTTTATTTGAATAAAACGGAACATTCCCAGTAATAACCCAACCTATGTAGCTTTTTTTTGTAAAATTGGTAAAAATCTGTGGAAAAGTGGAATTTGTCCAATGCATAATAAATCATAGAATATAGAGTCACCTAATAAAATATCTATTTTCCCTGGTTTATAAAATGTTTCATCTGCTAAAGTTACATTTTCTAGTATAGTAAATTCATTTCTGTCAAGATTCACTGTAGGTAATTTTTCAGTAATTTTATCTACCTATAACTAAAAAAGAACTGTCAATCTAATATGCATTTACTCGAAATTTGATATTTGCAGTCACCGAATGGTTTATATGAGTTATTTTGTCATTTTTACCTGATACTAGTATTTTTATACACGACTTATCAAGTTTCAATTTTTGCAAAGATGTGCTGTGATAAAATTTTATTGTGATCCTGAATCAAGTAATGCCCTTGCTTCAAATGTATTACCTGAATGGTCAAAAATATCTATAACTGCTGTTGCTAATAAAACTTCTGATTGTTGATTGGCGCTTGAATTTAGAACTACTGAAGATGAGCTGCGTTGAATTAATCTGTACTGTATTTACCTGGTTGTGCTCATTCATTGAGTTCCCAAATGATTCTGATTCTTGGTTCATATTGATGTGGCTTTGTTGATGATCTGTTTGAAATCTAGAATTTGAATAATGTAATTAAAATTAATTAAAAATTAAATTCTTTATTTTCTTTTTGACAAACATAGTTTGTATAGAATTAGTCATAAATATACATTGCTACAAACTAAACACTAAACTAGACTAAACAAGACATGAAATGAATTTAAAAGCTAAACGAAATACAGCTAATATCTAAGATCTAAAAAATTCTTCGATTGTATAAAACACTTTTTCACATAAAAATTGCTTAAGATTCCTCTTAAATACATTTATTGAACTGGTGGACTTTACAACTGTGGGCAAATGATTAAACACCTGTAGCCCGTATACCCTGGGCGATTTAAGTTTAATGTTACCTTTTGAAAATGGTATATAAAGTTTATTACAATATCTAGTATTTAAATTATGCATATCACCACTCGTTTTAAACTGATGTAAGTTATTAAAAATAAAAACACATAATTCAAAAATGTATAGACACGACAATGTTAAAATTTTATATTTTTTAAAATATTCTCTACAACTAGTTAGTCGGGAGACACCAGCGACACAACGCAATATTTTCTTTTGTATGACGAAAATACCATTTGCATAACCAGACATACCCCAAAAACATATCCCGTATCTTAGCCTGGACTCTACGAGTGCATAATAAATCATAATTAGCTGATTTTCCGTCAGAACATATTTTAAATTTCTAATTAGATAGTTAATAGAACTCAACTTCGAAACAACCGCTCCACAATGCAACTTCCAATCCAAACTTTCGTCAATCGTTATTCCCAAAAACTTGCCTGACGACACGGTACCTATTTGCATGTTGTTAAAAGTAAGCTGAAGATTTTCCAAGTATTTTTGTTTATTGTGAAAATGTATAACTTGCGTTTTTTCTGCATTTAGATGCAACGAGTTATCGCAAAACCAAGAATATAAAGATGAAAGAAAATTATTACATTGATGTTGTAGGATTACGTTGGATTTGTTAGATAGAATAATTGACGTATCATCCGCATATATAGTGAAATTTACCGCTCTGTCCACTTGTACGATGTCGTTAATGTAGACTACAAAGAGAATTGGTCCTATTATAGATCCTTGGGGAACACCCATGTTTGTAGTAACAAGACTAGATCTATAACTGGTCACACAATCCTCGATCCTTGTCTGCAGGCTCACATATTGTTGTCTATTGTTTAAAAATGACATAATCCACTTTAAAGAGTTTCCTGTAATACCTATCTGTTTTAGTTTTTTAAATAATATTTCATGGTTCACACAGTCAAATGCCCTACTAAGATCACAAAATATTCCAATAGGACATTCGCCTGCATCAATCAGACTGGTTAAATGAGCATAAAATGCATGGACTGCCGTATTAGTAGATTTATTTTCTTGAAATCCATGTTGATTTATAGTTATGATATTATTGTTTTTTAGATAACCATTTAATCTCTTTAAATATCCATACTCAAATACCTTTGAAAATATACTGGGAATTGTTATAGGCCTATAATTGCTGACCAGTTTTCGATCTCCTTTTTTTAAAATGGGAACTACTTTGCCTGTCTTTAAGTAATTAGGAAAATCCTCATTGCAAAAAGACAAATTGGTTAGATAAGTTAAAGGATTGATTATAAAAGGTAAAACTTTTTTCACCAAAAATGCAGGTATCTCGTCAAAACCACTAGAGGATTTGTTTTTAAGTTTACTTTGGAGGAGTTCGATCAGTTCCTGCCCAGTAAATGGGTACAATTGAAAGAAATTTTCATGATCTGTAATAATTGACTGACTGTCTTTGTCTACTGTATTACCTGGAATTTTCGACACGATATCAATGGGTGCATTTTTAAAAAATGTGTTAAAAGTGCATGCTACCTCTTGGGGATCTGTTAATATATTATTGTCATCATACATTAAAAAAGTATTAGCATTGTTATTAGTACTTTTTGAGAAATCATTGACAACTTTCCACGTGATTTTATTGGGATTATCAGACGAAGTAATGATTTTCTGGTAATAATCTTTTCTTGTTTTGGTCAAAAGTTTTCTATGTTTTTTCCTTTGTTGTTGATAAAAATCTCTAAGAATTGGTACTGCCTTTGATAAAGCGTGTAGATTTCTTAATTCAAAACTAGACTTTCGCACTTCACTATTAACCCATTTATTTTTAGTTGTTTTGATTTTTTTCCTTGTTAATGGAAATCTATTATTAAAATGATACAAAAAGATATTTATAAAAGCTTGAAATGCTAGATTAGTGTCTAAGATTCCATAAACATTATTCCAGTTTTCGTTAATGAGGTTAACGATAAAGTGATTTATCGATTCCTCGCCAAATTGTCTTTTTTGTATAAAGTATGATAATTCCGCTTCAAAGTCAAGTTCCACTAAAACCGTTCTGTGATCTGATACAGTGTTGTCAAGTACACATGACAAACCGGAGTTCGAGAAATTTACAAATACATTATCTAACGTTGTTACGCTGGTATCCGTGACCCTAGTTGGCCAATTGACAAGATTAAAATTAATATTAAAATTCAGTAAAACATTTAGTAGATTAACATGGTCGTTAGTCATATGTCTGGTATCTACATTAAAATCACCACATATTACAAAACGTATATTTGGTTTATATAAACAATTTAAAATACCTTCGAGGTTATTCAAAAAAATACTTAAATCACCAGATGGTGATCTGTAACAATTTAATATAACATATGAATTATTTTTCTTGTCTTTGAAAGAAGTAATACAATATTCAGAATGTTTATCAACACAATATTGCTTTATCCTAGAGTTGAGTTTGTTATTAAAATTAAGACCTTTTCGAACCCAAATTCCTACGCCTCCTCCTCTTATTGAGTTATCTCGCAAATAACAACTTGCTAGGATAAAACCTTCAATGTTGACGTTCCCAATAGAATTATTTGATTCCCATAATTCCGTTAAACAGAGTTAAATAACATCACAAATTTTATCACTATTTATGCTTTGAATATTTAACAGCATTAAATTTGGATTAAAACTTACCCCTGATTTTGAGGTTGCCCCCGCAGGTATAAAAAACTATTTACATAAGCGTTCTTAGGCCACACTGCAGGATCCATTGCTTTCTTGAAGTGTTCTTGGTGTATCCGTACTTTGAAGGATGCATATAATTCAGGATGACGGGAATTCATCCCCTCACAAATGACCTCTGGAAAATGAGGCTTTAGATGCTGTACAATAGAAGCCGCTGTTGCAGTTGGTTCTATTCTGTATACGTGGAGATCCACAAATTTTGGAGTACCTTTTATCGTGGTATTTGTACTTGTACCTACAATAGCTTGTCTCTGTCTTCTGCTTCTATGACGAACTTCTCCCCATCTGACGTTGTCTGAAGAGCTGCCTTCTCCTAGGGAAACTATTGACGTCATAATTTTTTCTTGTTTCGTGATAAGATCATTTTTCTTATTGGATGGTTGAGGCATCGATGTAGAGACGGTAGTTGACTTACATTTAGCTTCTTTTTTGTTCTGTAACGTTTCATGATTGTTTTCAATTTTACGATTGTCTTCTTTCTCCGTAGATTTGCAGACATTAGTATTATGAGATTTAACTGTTTTGTCTGAAGATTTGGCAACGTTTGAACTAGAAGGTGCATTTGAAGGAATATTTTTCGATTTTAACAAATATATTATTTCATCCTGACGTTGGTTACCTTTAGTAAGTTCACTGTTTAAAGCTTTCAAGTATTGACTTTCAATATTAGCACATTTTAGATCACAAGTTAGCTTATTGTCTAATAATAACTCAAACAACGCCCTAACATGAGAATCTACGATGTTTATCATTTTGAAATCGATCTGTCAAGATCGACCAAGCAATCGTATAATTCTGATTCGTAACTTCCAAAGAAGAAATTACTGCTGTCTCACTGTCTGTTAAACAAGGTTTGAGATAATAAATTTTTTAAATGTTATTTAAATTAGGATCATTGCCAATGATCCCGTGAACCCGTCTTAAAACTCGAGTCATGAGCTCCCACTTTCTGAGGCCCCACTGAATTTTGGAAGATCAATACAAGGTAACCTTATGTCTTGTGAAGCTTGTAACTGTGAACTATAACTTGTATTTATTGTGTCTGCTTGTTGATTAAATGTATGTTTTTTATTAAAATATCCGCTTTGGATATACAATCTAAAAACTTCTTTTCAAATTCGTCTAGTTCGGATTCATATTTCTTATTTTTTGTCTCATCTAAATCTAATATAAGAAGCTGAACTATTACTGAATTAAAATCTGATAATAAATCTTTTGCTAATGATAATATGTACGCTAACTGATCCTTTTTTGTTTTACCTGACTCTACATCGTTTACAAAATTAAAAAATCTAGTTAACTGTCTGTCCCTTTAAGGACATTTTTAACATTTTAACGTATTTTCATCTGTCATTCTGATCATTTATGAAAATGTACAGTTACAATACAAAATACAACACAAATTAGATGCAAGTCGCGAATAGAGATTTTATATAAAAAAGGATATTATACATTACATATTACATTACATAGGGTACCAATGATTTTCTGATAGTTTGCTTTGATTTTTGTAATCCTGGTGTGGCCTGGTCATTAACCTCTTTGAAATAGTCGCCACCTGTGCTCTATATCGTTTTGATTTTCTGGTAAAATATTTGTTTCTGGTCCTGTCACGATTGCCAAAATGATTTGTAATTATTTATACAAAGTATTATTTCTGCTTTCCGGTGGTTGATGCTGATAAAAAAACTGATATACTGAATAAAAACTGAATTTATTTGTACATTGCTTATATTATGTTATACAATGTTACGGCACAGAATAATCATCATCATCCAGCCTCTATTTATCACGTCCACTGCTGGACATAGGCCTCCCTTAAACTCCTCCATTCCTCACGATTTTGTGCTCTTTGTTGCCAATTTTTAGTGATACGCCTGATGTCGTCGGCCCAACGTGTAGGTGGTCTTCCTCTACTGCGTTTGTCTGCTCTTG